TGATTTTATGATTTTATTATTTATTGACTTAAAAAGTTTAGTTTCCAAAGATCTAATTTCAATTACTATATGGAAAGAACGGTTACTGAGGTACCTAAAAATTTAGTTATATATAAATACATATTTGAAAATAATTTTATTGGGCTATCAAAATAAGTAATTATGTACAAGCTACAAGTTATTGAAACATCAAAATTTTTTGTAGTATTGCTTATGTCTGAGCGATATACATAATTATTTTGATAACCCAACAAAATTATTTTCAGATTTAACTTTTTAGATACTTCAGCAAAATCATTCTTTTAGTGAACTGCTTGTTAAAAAGAAAATTCTGTTTGAAGTTTATTTCTGCTAAATTTAAACTCCGCTTGTTCGAGGATATTTTGCAAAATTTTATTGCTGCATTAGAGATGCGAAAATCAGGCTTACTTAATCAAAATTAGCGTTAAAATATGCCGATGCAAGTAAGAAGTTGAACACTGTATCTATCCGTGCACATCGACGAACGAGAATACACTCCTCTTGCTCGTCAGTTCGTGTTTCCAGCTCGAGTCTTCAGCTCGGGGTGAACGTCGAGTATTAACTGTCAGCAATGAGGAGGGGAAATCCACAGTCGAGCCTCCGATTCCTCCAATCGGTTTCCTTCTATGACGAAAAATCGTGATTCACGCAACGTTGGGTTGGCCCCTCGCCAGCCTATTGAGAAAAGAATCAATGAATTATATAAACGTGTAATGCAAATGCGACACATGTGATGTACACGATAACATGCAACTGATCTTGGAAAGACATAGAAGCGATAGACTTATGCCCATTTCTATCAATGTATTTTAACTTAAATCTCCATTTAACTTACTTCTTTTCTAATTCTAAAAATCAGAAAAAAATAAAGAGTAAATTAAACCAAGATTAAAATTAAATTATATTGGTAGAAGTATAATGCATGTCCCTGGCGAAAATAAAAATTGGAGCGTAAGTTGAATGTAAGAGGAAAATGATAGAAGCATAAACAAAGCTTCTAGAAGACAAAAAATGAAACAACGAAACATAAAAGACATTTAGATGTCTAGAAATTTTGTTTATGCTTCTGTCATTCTCTTACATTCGACTTATGCAATTTTTATTTTCACTAAAGATTGTGTCTCGATAATCACTGAAGGAATTATTAAACGGAAGAATTAAGGAAAGTAATTATTATTTACCACGAACCCATTCATTATAAATATCGGAGACAATTAATCCTTAATCCATTATCTAGATTCAGATTAATGGTGCGATTAACGCTTTAATATCTTGTTGAGTCTCTTTTTCAGCTTCACCGTTTGATTAATTATGTAATATAACATCTTTCAATTATATCTGGAAAGTATTAAGTTTATGGATACACTCCTGATATTATTGACGGTTTTTCTATAGTCATAAATAACGTTAGACACAACGTCAAATATCACAGTTGCGTTCTCCAACTCATAATATTAAACAATCTCTAACAATTTAATCAGTAAACACGGGAAGCAGTAAGATAACCGTGAACATGTACAAACAAGAATAGTTCAGTGCATAAAAGTCGCATGGCACGATTGTCAATCAATCTTTAATTCGCATACTCGACTGGTTGTATTATGATGGCCGATTTATCTTAATGAGTTCTACACTCCATCGTGCTTTAATTAGCTTCTCACCCTCACAGTATGCTTTACGATAATAGTGTGTTAAAGATATGAATAATTTTTCAGTGTCCGTCTTTAATGAAATAAAATAACGAATCAGTAATAAAATGTTCTTCTCGTAAAAATGTCATTGTTTCTCAATCGTTTATAAAGAAATGACAAAGCATATATTTATGCTCGTCATTTCTTTATAATATATTATATTATATTTATATATATATTAATATATAGCTTTTACAATTCTACGTAATAAACGTAATTTTTTATTCACACTCTAAAAAATATGAATGTGGATTTAAATTATGATGTTTATATATAATTCTTATCATATTGATAAATATCTAGATATTAATACCATGGATTTAAAATCCATACTCTCTCTATCCCTGGCGAATAAATTTTTACGAAAAACTACATAGATAAGACAAGATCTTAAAAAATTCTTAATTTTTCGTAAATAATTCGTAGAGTGGATCTTAGAAAATTCTTAATTTTTCGTAAATAATTCGCATTGTTTGTTAAAAAAACAAGAAATCTGTCTTCAAACACATCATTTTACAAATATCTACGAAAAATTAAGAATTTTTTAAATCTTGCTTCAATCTATGTAGTTTTTCATAAAAATTTTTTTCGCGAGGGATTTTGATGCCGATCAACACAGTAAGATTTATAAACACCCATGATGTTAAATTTACACCCATGTTTGTTTAGCATGAAAATATAAATCTTACGTCAAATGAATCTCGCTTCTCCATTGTTATGAATAAAGTTTTCGCGCGTTCGCAATATCGAATCCGGATTGGATCATTTGGATCGTACCAATTCCCAGCATATGGTTTTGCAAGTAAGCGACGAGCCTTATTTTCTTTTTCTTGTGTTCTATAATTACTTTATCGCCTCGCGGAGTTTTCGTGATCAGCATGTGACGTCGATAAACAGTGAATCGCCGTCGACGACGATAATGATAACAGTTGACCTTCGTTACTCCCGTCTTGTAAAATTGACAATTAAGAACATTCATTAGAGTACTCATTTCTTACATTTTCTTGTCCTTCTTATGTTTCCGCCACCTGATTTGCGCGACATCGGCCCGAATCCTCGTTTTTAGATTCCTTTTAAAGATCCACTCGTTTCAAACATGTTCCATTATTTACTTGGTTTTAGTCTTCTTTGTCTATCTTTCGAAACCTAGACGTACCAATCTCATTTTAAATGTGAAAAATACAAAAATGTACAGCTAATATAAGCATTTTTTATGAATGGCTGCGTTCGGCAGAAAAAACAGTTTTATAATTATAAGTAGAGATGTTAACAAAATAAAAATCAAATAGATTTTTTCATAAAATATATTTTTTTCAGGAAAAACAGACGAACTTTGTTTTTTGAAAATTCTATTTTTTTAGAAATTGAATTTGAAATTTTTGAAATTTGAAATTTCAAAAAATAAAAATAATTTGAATTTTTGAATTTGAATTTTTTTTTTAAATTGAATTTAAATTTGTAACATGAGTATTATTTAGTTTTCATTTAGATATAAGCACAGTTTGTAATTTAAAAAAATGTTCTTAGTTATTATTAGTTTTTAATTAATACTTTAATCACATAATTTTCCTCTGAAATTCAATATAGAATCCTTTTGAAATTCAATATAGAAGAATCTGAAATTTCATTCTTAATATCACATCTTTATCTATCTTTAGCTAATTTTCCCTTATTCTGAATTCCGATAGTCTCAGAAATTTCAGGATCTTTGTTAGGTATGCTACAAGAGAAATAATCAAATTGTATTTTTTTTTTAATAAAAAAACATATTTTGTTTCATTTTTTTTGTTGAGAATGGATTTTTTTTCATCTCTAGTTATAAGACTTTAATATGATTGAGTTTTGTCTTTAGTTCTCCATTGAATCTAAATATCTAAATTACTCTAAATCATTGATATTAAAGAATCTTACAACAGTTATATACAAAGTTGTTTCTTCTGCTAAGCACAAATAATATCCATGTTTTATCTAGGGTTAGTAAAAAAAAACATGTTTTAAACAGTTTAAAACAGTTTATGCTTGATGTTTTTAATATATTTTAAACATATTTTTTTATCATGTTTAAAGCATATTTGAAGCATTGAAAACATATTTAAAAAGAAACATAATGATTTATTCTTAAAAAAATAACCATTAGTCTTTACCAACCTTGTGTTTTTAGCGCTACATTCTTGTACTTATATTTCTATATTTATTTCTAAAGTACCACTGGAATTGTTCTTTAAGAAACTATGAATCTTACTCTAAGCATGTGTTAGAAAAGAGAAAGTTGAAATGCAATCCTGTCTTGCCCATTTCCATTCTTATACTTCCGTATTCTTTGTGCATTGCAGATAAAAATTATTCAGTCCAACTGTTGATTGAGCATCTTTTATTTCTGTTTTGTTTCACATACAGCAGGACATGGATTGATGGACATGGATATAAGAAGCGTGGAAGAACACAGCAAAGGTAGACCTATATGTAAAAAATTCAATCAATGTATTTGTTTTTTTCAATTGCCTTGCAATTTGTCCTTTTTTTCTCAAGAACCTTTATATTTTCGTTCTGTTCCAAGAAAGTATATGTGACTCGCATCTAAAAAAATCACGGATTTGGCAGGAAAGGTCTTTGCTGGACGGTCAAGTAGACACAAGAATCAGTCACGAGAGTCATGGAATATTCGTTGCTGCCGATCACACCTACGTACCTCAATACGACGTTACGAGCTACATCGAGGTCGGCTCCAATCGGCTCGCCATTTGTTTATGGTTAGCTGTCAATCACGCACCAGGATGACAGCACACATCGACTCCATCGCTGCAGTTCCGAAGTGCAGCGCCGCCGCGAGAGTTTCGCGCGAGATATTCGAGATTTGGGAGGAGGACGAGAGGAACGTCGTTCACGTCATCGCCGCGATTCGCAACGACGCGGAGATTTATTTCCATCTGAAATCGAAATGACATGATGAACGTCACGTGCAGCTTCGCGCGATCGTACTTCCAGGAGTTCCAGGTGAAGTCGAGCGCAACCAGGTCGAGGATACTAGCAAGTATTCGTTTTATTCGCAGAATATCCTCATGTGATTTGATATTTTCAAATGGCTATCGCCAGCGCTTCCCGCGCGACGGTATCAAGAACTGTTAAGCCGTAACCCCATGTTGTCACCGCCGTCGCCGCCGTCGCCGGTTGGGAGATGTCAATGGTGCAATCCGCGGAAGTCGATCTAACCTCGAAAGACTCCGTCGCGTTTACGTCTCCTGCGTTATATATGCCAGTGTGAAAGGAAAGCACCGCTTCCAAGCCACCGACGACGAAGCATGACTGTCTGGGAGAGACTGCGTAATCCGTGCGGTTGGCGCGCGGGCGCCAAGCAGATCTCCGTGGACGCAATGCTGCCGTTGGTGGTAGTGCCGATCCTGACGATGATCGCCGCCCAGGCTTTCCTCTGCACAGTCGCCGTATTCGTGGTTACGCCGGTCTTCATCTATTACCTTCATCACAACTTCCTCAGGTTTCTACTGCGTACCAAGTTCTTCCTCATGTGGACTATCACGAGCGTGCTGATGATGATGCTGGTGTTCGAGATTAGTGTCGTGCCGCTGTTGGAGATCCTGCCCGAGGAGAATCTCGTGTTTATGGTGTGCGTGGTCGGTGGCATGTGGTGTGGCTACAAGACCAAGCTGAACGCGGATGCCTCGATACAGGAGAACGCTGGTGCTGTCGACGTCCTGGAACTGGGCGACGGCAGTGGTGAACTCTGCGCCACATGTAGGAGAAGGACCCCACCCAAGGCTCATCACTGCCGCTTGTGCCAGACTTGTATACTCAACAGAGAATATCATTGCAAATGGTACCTTGAATACCATTGAATGTCTTTTCCTTTGATACAGAGTCATGTAATTTGTATTAACTACTTCGGCTTTCTTTTTCAGGCTCGATTGCTGTGTAGGTTCCAGTAATTTAAGGTGGTACATGAGCTGTTTATTCTTCTCCGCAATCGCTTTTATATATGGCTCTAACTTGACTATGACTAGCGTCTGTCATCCTTTCATACTCATTGGAACTATACTCCTACCCGATGACTGCAGTGATGTGTATCATCAATTAGAGTATGTATTTATCGTATTTTCTAATTACACTTTGATACACTGAGAATATCAAAATACGTTGCATATAATTTGTTGAAATTATTTCACAAGATGAAAAGTATATTGAAAAGTATATATGAAAAGTATATCACGAGCGCGAGCGGGAAGTGTGAATGATATCACTGATACCAATACTTAATGAAGTAAACTGGAAAGATACAGGGGATCTATAAAGTTTAATAATCGCAAGATAATGATAATTGTCAGGCCTGCAAGATGTATTGACGTAAATAATATCTTTTATTTGTTTTCTGATATATAAAAGTTCGACCGATAACGTGCGCAACTGTTTGTTGCAAACGTCCGAGCTCGATCAATATATAATAATGTATATATTGTTTCAGCATCGCATTTTGCTTCGTCTCTGCTTTGTACAGCCTCTTTGTGGGACTAGTGCTCTTTTGTTATCTTATATATCATCTACGGTTGCTCTACATCGGCACGACATCGAACGAGCGACGATTGGACATGAAAAATCAGTCCGACTATAGAATATTAAATGTATCTCAGCTGTTCTGCTGCAAAACTTAGGATTGTTATCTATAGAAATGTGCGAGTAGTTCGAATTTGAATCGAATCGCCTATCGAATTTGAAAAGAATTCGCCTATTTTACTTGCTTCATTTTAATTTGATTCAAATTCGATTAGTTTTCAAATCAAAAAGATTTGATTTGATTTAACGCAAAAATTTCAAATTTGATTCAATTTGTTTTCGAACTTATTACCAAAGATTCCATTCGATTTGATTCGACTAAATGCACACCTCTATTTATAAGCTAGATTACTGAATTTATTTCACACGGTGTATACATTACATTCTGTACAAAGGATATAATGAAAGCAAATTCGACAAACTAGAGAACGGTAAGACCAAAATATTTGTCATAATATTAAGCATAATAAATTCACTTAATATAAGTGGATGCGAATACAATAATAACATCGGTTCGATTGCACACTATCTTCATCCATTTGATGTATCCTGATGTCTAAGATTCATAATTCATGAAAAGTATAATAGGTATGTTATTTCCATCGTGAAATCATGTTCAACATATCATGAGGCATTGAGACTTATTACATTCGTCATCCTTAATGTATCGCAATGTGTGCATACTATTTGTATATTTATTGTAACTGTGATAAAATCGCCATTGTACGAGTGATATAGTAAATTGTATTAATTGAATACACACACACACACACACACACACACACACAAATACACTCTAAAATAAGTTCAAGTAAAAAGAAACTTAAATACGTATGTACAGTAATGTGATTTGCATTTTATTTTACATAAAAAGTATTCTTGCTTAGGATTACAACTTATCTCATTCAGATTCGAGGCCAATGAGATTGTCGTACAGTATTAAATCTAAATTATTTCTAAATTTGTTACACTAGTCTTCTAATATTACACCTCTTTGCCTGGGATCAAAGTCTGGGATTATTTCTTGCACGATTTCCCGCCACATGTTTCTTAGTCGCTTTCTCTCCAAGATAACCGGTATCATTTCTGGATATCTTTTCCATATGTTGAAATATTTAATTTTCAACTTTTCTTCGTAGTGTAGTGAGGCTAAACGTTCACGCTTCAATTCTTCTACTTTGCATTCTATAGTTTTTATCTTCCACATTTTTAAATATTTATTCTGTAATCTCATGTCACAAAAGTCTCTCGCCACTTGGTCCTTTCTTCTCTCCTCCTTCGCGACTTCTTTCCACTTCTGCAACCCGTATCGCAATAAATTTCTATTATATAACGATGTAGCTAACTCGAATTTAACATTATTCTGACGTTCCGTTTCCATCCTCCACATCATGAACACTTTTCGCAGCAAGCATCGCTTATAGTAATCGTCGGCTTTCTTCATATCATTATTCTTCTTTTCGACGAGCGCGGTTATATAACGTCGCAATAAGTATTTGCGATAAAATGCTTCCGCCATGGCATTTAGTTTCTTACATCTTTCTATTTCGCGCGCTCGTTGTCGCTCCCGTTCCTCACGAATTCTTCTCGCTTCGCGTGATGCCTGAGGATGAAAAAATCTTCAATTAAACGCGGGTATGTTTCTAAATGTAACGTGTAAGAGACATTAGAAGATAAAGTACTTTATTATGTTATAGAATGAAGTATAAAATAAATGATATTATATGTCATTAAATGTAAACTAGAGTATTATAGTATAATATTTACTGGAAACGTCCCTCGCAAGAGATAATTTTGTTAACAAGGTGAAAGCTGTGAGAGTCTAAGTGTACTATATTCACTCAATACGATATTAATATACTTTGACCTCTCATATTATCTGACCTCTTGTTGCAATCTTTTCCTCTCTTGTTCCTCCGTTCTTCTGGCAGCCTCTTCTTTCCTCTTCTCATCCTCTAGTTTCTTCCGGCGTGCTTCTTTGCGCAGCTTTATTCTGTCTCTCCTTGCTTCCGCTCGCGCTTCCATTCTCGCTAGAAATTTAGGAGGATTCGGTACCTGAACTGATGCTATCAGGGATTTGTCTCTATTAATTAAAGAAGAGCGTATAATTAGAATCCGCCAAGTCAAATTAAGTTTGCATAATTCGATTTAATCTACTATAACACAAAGGACTAGACTCTGAATATCTCCTCTTTAAGGTAGTTTCTACTTCACAAGCTATAGAAAAAGTAGTACGTAAAGCAATATAATCAACGGTCCACTTTAATTTGGCTCGCAAGATCTGAGCTTCCAGCGTCTTTATGCTTTGCGTCATCGTCGTTCGTTATAAAAGAGCTTAGTTATTCAAAATACATTCGCACATGTGCGAATAGATACACATATCTGATGCAAACGACGTCATAAAAGAGAGATATATTTTACGTGGAACATAAAGATGATTTGAGAAGATGTGATTATTATTCTGGTTTCTAATTGAAATTTCTATTGATGCAGGAAGGAACGATTTGATGGAGTATCTAAAGTTAGATACAAATCTGAAAATAATTTTATTGAACCATTAAAATAATTCTGTAGAGAATTTAAGCATGATAAATATTGCTATAAAAAGTTTTAACATACTAGCAATCAGCTTGAACATTTTACATAATTTCTTTGATTTTCAGTAAAATTATTTTTAGATCTGTATCTAGCTAAACTTTTAGACTTCAAACTTTTGCTACTTCAGCAAAATCCTTTTTTCTGTGCAAACTCGACTGAGAATCATATTCAAGAATCAAGAATTTATTGAATTTACTGGAGTCTTCGAGATAAAAAATTCATAATTACATTTTGACGAAATGAAATAGGACGTTCATAATTACAGGACTACCTGTAGCCTGCTTGTCTCATCAGTTGGATCAAAGATCTTCTAGTCTGTTGACCACAATGAGTCAGAGTCTCCCTGGCTGCGTTTACCGTTTCCTCGCCGGACCTCGTTATTGTCTCCTGCACCTGCTTTAGCTTCAGTGCCTCGATGATCTTGTTCTGTTCTGCCAATTTCATCCTCTGCTTGCGAATAATCTCTTTTTGAGCATTCAATCGACACTGTGTCGGCGACTCGACAATGAACAACTTAGAAGGAAACTTCTTCAGAGATTCAGGGTTTCTCAAGTTTGAGGGAGGATCCTTTGGCTTTGTTCTATAATTTGACTTTAACTCCTTTTGTACCTCTTTGATAGTGTCGACGAGCATCTCGATCTTCGGTATGTCAGGATTTTTCGCTGCTTGTTCTCGTTGAGCCTTCACCTTCTTCACATGCATTTTCCATATATGAATGTATGATTTCAGTTTTCTTTGCAACAAGATAGTCTGGATACGAGTCATGATTTCGTAAAGACGACGTTTATCTCGCGCATTCTTTCGAAGAGCTTCGAAATATGATCTTAAAATATTTAGTCGCTGGGCTTCCGATTCGGATGTTGGTTTATCTTTGATAGTCACCTTAATGTTACCAAAAGGAGCTATCTCGATCCCATTTGTCGAACATAGCTTGCTATCCTTCGATTCGGCAGAAGAGACTTCCGCGATTGGCTTTTTATTTTTCTTTTGAGTGACTGTTAGCTTTTGCTCGATCGATTTGCTGCTTCTTTTATTAATGAGAATTCTCTGTAAATTTAATAAATTTTTATTAATATAATTTAGTATTTAAACATTTATGATATATTCGCAGGTATAATTCTTGTGATAATTCTTAGTAAATATCTAATTTATTGCTGAACTTCACCTTGACTCTGCTGGATGTCTTCCAAAAGTTTTGATCATCCGAACTAGCTATATTCTTTCTACTGCACAATCCGCAAAATTTAGGACGGGACTTTTGCAAATCTTGTTCAAATTTGCGTAATTCTCTCTGTATGAAAGCTTGTTCTCTTTTTGTCTGTAATTCCTTCATTTTTTCTTGCATTAGTAATCTGTAAATGCATTGATGAAATCCGTTTTTATATCATTTCCTTTTCGTTATTTTTGCCAAATTATTTTATCAGAATTTTTTCAAACTTTCATGTAAATTTCAGAATTTTAAAATAATTTTATAACCTCTCACAAAATTTCTCAGATTTTTTATACAAATTGAATCACTTTTTAAAATAAGTGCCAAAAAAGTCTGCATCTTTTCTTTGTTCTGTATATAAATTTTGAAAGTTTATATCTTTTTAAAATTCTTTTATAAATTTTGAATCTAGAATTCTTACTACATAAATCCTATAAAATATTCTAAGATTTTTCATTTTATAATCTTTGATGAAGTCTTACAAAATCTGAAAAAATTGAAGGTATTTTTTTTAAATTATAAAAGAAGAAATCGTAGAAATGCTAGAATATTCAGTATGAAAAATACATATACATATGAAAAATTCTGAGATAAGATTCTGAAATAAGATGTAGATTTTCTTAGTATTTCTGAAAAGTGTTCCAATTCGCATACAAATTCTGAGAAAAACTTTTACTAATGTACGATAATTCAATATAATTAAAATATAAGCACAAATCACAAATTTTATTAGCGATAATTTATAGATTTTATATGTATGCTAGGCTTATATAAGTAGACATATTATAAATAAAATATTAATAGATATATTATAAATAAAATCTACATTTTTATAAGTATATATAAAGTTCGAAGGTGTATACCTTCTAGCCTCCGCTAAGACAGAAGATTTTGCTGGAGAACTTGCCAGATCCTCACGAAATATTTTATGTCTCGCGTCCATTACCACATTCGGATCTAGGAAAGTTTTTCTTTCATCTTCCAGCATTCGCCGTTTCTCAGACGGCTCGAAAATCGTCACTTTCATCATCTTATCCATCAGCTTCCTCACTTCATCCTCAAACAGCACCATGCTTGTCAATTAGAGACAATTGAAATGATAATCAATTTAAATGTCCACTTCGTATTACTTTGTTCGTCGACTGCGCCAACCCCTTATTTATCCGTGTTTGTTTCCTTGTTGTTAGGGAAAGCTTCAATCCCCCCAATGAATATAAGGGTTCCAACAACTCCCATTCATTAGTTAGACGGTAGAAGACGAAGGTGGGAGCGAGAAATGCAAATCGCTGAAGAAATGCAAATATTAAGGGACATGCTGATATCCTTGCATAATGAATAAATACTTTGAATTTTTGTTAATTTTTTTTTAAATTAAATGTATAGTCGAAAATAATTAATAACATATATAATTCTATTTGGAATTTTTTAATATGAAAATATTATCTATATCCCTAAATATTGTATCATTAAGAGAGATAATAGAAAATAACAGATTTATTGCACGAATAAAACTTTAATATATTTTAATTTTAATTGCAATTATATCCAGGTAGAACATAAAATTATAATACGATTGAGATGACATAAAGTCATTAAAGAAGTCATTAAAAAAAAATTATAATGTTATTCGATATAATTTTGACGATAATTTTTGTAATGAATTTTTGACATGATTTTAAGTATTTTTTTTTAACTTTTTAGTTAAAAATAATTATATCATATAACATATCACATACTTTTTTAATTAAAAAGTTATTTATTGACAATTATATGACATTATTTTTTTCTAAAATGACTGCTATTTGATGTTATCTTAATTTTTATTACGATTATTACGATTTTGTGTTCTACTGCCTTCTTTTTATATACTTCTTAATAATAAATAAAGAGAAACATTTTTTTTCTTTTACTTTGCGCGTTTATTTAGATGATAATTAGTAATATATTTCCAGATTTTACGAATAGATTTTACGGTTTTTATAAATAAACCTATACAATTATAAAATAATAGCGCGCAATCTAAAAGTCTGTTTCGTGGGTCGAAGTTCAAAGTTTCCCGCCGTCTCGACGTTAATCAATCGCGATGCGAGATCGGCATCGTCGACTGTCAAGGGGTCAGTTGCTGCAGCAGTACGTGTATCATCAAGCGAGAGGTGCATCGACTTCGAAGCCTATATATTGAGGCTGGCGAGTCTTCTCGTGTGAGTTCAAAATAACGGAGGTCCGTGTAACGAACACCTGTTTCCTGCCTTGCGCGCGATGTCGTCGACCGCCCGCGTCGTTCCTGGAATATCGAGGATCGCGCATCGCGGTTAGAGCGACCTGGTGTTATCCTTACGGTCCATCAATCTTGGTCAATCTCTTTCGCGTATTCCCGTGTGCAAGTCTCCACGGTCGAATGTGACTGTAATATAGGCACAGACGACCAAACCACGGACGCACCTCCGCTGGTGCGATACGTCAACGTAAGATGGATCCAAGGGGCCCTCCTGAGGGGGCCCCTGCCGAGTCCTTCGAGATATCTAGCATCGACAGGGGGGCTGACATCTCAGTGAATTGGCCTACAGATCATCCCTTTACCTCGTCGCTGTGCGAACAGCCGAAGAAACTGAACAACAGGCTCCTATTCCTGACTGTGAGTAATTCTTCTATGCAGCACACTTTATCAGAGAGACATTTTTATCTAGGAACGTTCTTAGGATGTAGGATCTTCTGGGAACATCCTTAGGACTTCCCTTGGAAGTCTATATTAGATCTTTACAATGAATATGTCAGTAATCATCTTCATGATGTAACCGCTCTGTTGCTAGGTGGAATATGTGGAAGATCAATCTCGGCTGTTTCCTACATATGAGCAGATCTCCTTTTCTCCGAGGGCGGCTTCTCCCCTATCAGAGTTTGAGCATCGAGTCAGTCCACTGGATCCAAATATGAGCTCTACTGCTAGATATTCTCCCACACCAGTCCAACTACCTTCTTCTCCCTTCCATAATTCTGTTGTTGTGCTGCAAGGTCCAACCTCACCCTTAATGTCTCAGCCTGAACCAAATATACGAACCAGCATCAATTATGTGACTCAGCTGACTAATCCGATTGACACTCAGACTGTACCTCAAACGGATGGTACCACAGACTTTGTTGGCAATGGGAATGAAGATGGACTCGTGTCCAGCGTCAGCAGTGAATTAATTTTAATGCAGGGTAAAAATTTGTTTTTATTAAATAAAATATATATTATACATGTTAGATGATATTTTTATTACTCTTTGATTGTTACATAACACTTTCAGAAACTGCACCCGAATTGGAATCTTCGACAACTCCCTTGATGTTAACAGGAATACCAGGCACAGACTTTGCTCTAACTAGAGACTTCCTGGTGATGCAGGATGATCAAATAAATGTTATCAACACGTTTAAAAATCAGAACCTGGAGATAGAGGACAACCCTATCGCTTTACCTATTACTGAAGATGCAAAGAAAGAAAACAACAATCTTGCTTTGTCAGAGTGTGATAAAGAAATTGAACAAATTACCGAAGACCCTTTGTCCATTGAGAAGAAAAAAATAGTTGAGAAGAAAGACGTAAGGAGATCTAAACGACATATAACAGATAAAAAAAATTTCTGTAAGTATAATATTTATTCTATAAGCATGTAATGATAAATATTATTACTTTATTATTACTTTTTTATATAAATTTTATATAACTTTTTTACATAGATCATAAAATAAAAGAAAAACAAATGTTTTTAAATATACAATTTATATCTCGGTCTTAGTCTTTCTTTTATATATTATTTTTCTTTATATAATTTTTTTATATATTGGATGGGTATTTTTGCAGGGGGAGATGACGAGTATGACAGTAATTGTGCCAAAGATGATAGCTCTAATTTGACCGATGTATGCACTATCGCAGATCAACCTGTACCATCGCGTGCTGTAGCAACACTGCCAGGATCATATCTTTTGTTAAACAAGCTGTCTACATCGCATGGTTCAGCAAATAACGTAACCTACGGAATTTTTGCAAAACGTAATATTCGAAGACGCACGCAATTTGGGCCCATAGAAGGTGTATTGTGCACTTATGATGGCTCGTCCTTCGGAAATGCTTTGCCACTGCTCTACGAGACTCAGGATGGAGAATTCTTGAAAGTAGATGTTTCCAACGAAAGTAAGTGACGTCTTATTCGTTTCTTATTAAGATACTCGAACTTAAATCTTCCTTTATGTTTTCAGATACTTCAAATTGGATGCGTTTTGTGCGACCTGCACTGACATATAAAGAACAAAATCTAATAATTTGTCAACAGAAAGATGGAATAGTATTTTTGACTAATAGAAACATCTCACCAAAAGAAGAACTGAAAGCAGGTCCTAGTCCAGACTATGCAAGTCGCAGAAATTTACCAATTCTCAAACCAGACATAAAAGATGAAAAAGGTATAAAGAGAATATAGATATTACGTATTATATTTTGATACATTATAATAAATATTGACCAATGCAAATTAAATCCTTATTTTTAGCAGAAGTGGCAAATCAAACATCCACATGGCCACGTTTGGATAATAATTCTTACAATCGACGTATAAAGATGTTTCGCGACAGGAACATGAAAGAAAAGGAAAACTCGCGGCAGAACAAGTGTGACAAGGAGTGGAAATGTTCCGTGTGTAAATTGATTTTCAGGACTGCATGCCTGCTTAACTTGCATATGGCTATTCATTCTTCTAACAATATCAAAATTGAGAATCAAATGTCCACATGCCCACAATGTGGACAAGAATTCCAGAAACAAAGCGAATTGGTGAATCATGTGTCTCAGCACGGACGAACGGCATTACCTAAGGCAAAGCGATTAACTCCTCTAGGTTCATACAAGTGTTCAATGTGTTATAAACGTTTTGCTACAAAGATACGATTACAACAGCACTGTTTGGCGCATGGTGCTGAGGACCAAAAACCACTGCCATGCAGTATTTGCTTGAAACGATTTATGAACAACTCCGCATTGTCCGGTCATTTGAAAACGCATAAAGGTAAATCTATAATGAATCAATAAAAGTTAAATCTGAGGTGCACAGTTCGTCTTTTATTTTTTTCTCTTCAATGTGAAAAAAAAGGAAAATTGAACCGTGTGAATTCAGATAAAAAGAACAAACTTCTGGTATCAATTGCTATGCTATAACAATTCTATATTTGCAGAAAACAAACAAGTCTTTGAGTGCCCAATGTGCAGACAGTTATTTCGCCAAGGTACGATGCTAAAGGATCACGTTGAGACACATAGAAATCAAGATGGTATATTCAGTTGCCCTCACTGCCAGCGAACGTTCATCAAGTATTCTGTCATTCGCAAACACATTCGGGCACATCATTGCGAAAGGAAGCACAAGTGTCAGCATTGTGCGAAACGTTTTCCGACAGTCGACAAATTGCGAATGCATCTGTTAAAACATTCCGATCACAGGTACAATTTTAATTCGACTATTTGTCGATCATGTTAGTAAGATACGTGAAAATTTAATTAACTTTTGTTCAGAGAATTTCATTGTGCGAACTGCGGTAAACGATTCAAAAGGAAGGATAAATTGAAAGAGCACATGACTAAAATACATCATTCTCAAACGGTTAATGGAGAACAAATGACACAAAATAACCAGGCGAAAAAATTTGTGCCAAAGGTACGTCAAAGTAAAAAACATGTGATTAATTATACATTACTCTATTTTATTATTAGATAAATCCGAGCGATTACAATCGCTTCATTTACAAATGTCATCAATGCCTGGTCGGTTTCAAACGAAGAGGAATGCTGGTGAATCACTTAGCGAAGCGGCATCCCGATGTCGCTCCCGAATCTGTGCCAGAATTGAACTTGCCTATCTTGCGACAAACCAGAGATTACTATTGCCAGTATTGCGATAAGGTATCATTACAAAATAAAACATTTTTAAGTAAAGATAAAATTATCGTATTTTTTAATATATTATATTTTTTAAGGTTTATAAAAGTAGCAGCAAGCGTAAAGCACATATCATGAAGAACCATCCTGGCGCGGCTTTGCCGCCTAGTAACCGACAAGAGGAATCCGAATTCTCAGGACTGCCGAATCCAAGCTTCAGCCAAACAGTAGGCAGTATCACGACTAGTCCTCAAAGTTGTCAATGGTGTCATAAACAATATGCCAGCAAGGTAAATTTCATATAAGGCTCGATTATTAATTGATAATCGGCAGAAGTTAATAAATATATATTTTATTCAAGGCAAAGCTGTTACAACATCAACGCAAGAAACACGCGCATCTGATGGAGCCGGCGGATCAAGTACCTCGATCGCGAAACCGGCCGCCACAAAATCAAAATCAACCACCCACGCTGAACGATAACAACTTTGTGATATCCGATTATATACAAGGATGTGATGGAGATTTCCTGAAACAGAAAATAATCAAACTAACGAACGACGTTGATCTGATAGGCAATGGTGGTCTGGAAATGATCGGTCAACAGTTTGTACGTATGCGCGACATACGTTGAGGAAAAACGCGGCATCCTCATAGAGGGGATGAGCGTCGCCAATTTATCGAGATATGAATCTCGCGACCTTTGTACGCAGTCGAGATAGGCTGCGTTTTTTTGCTGCCGTTACCAAAATCGAGGCGACGTCGCCTGGACGAAGCGACGAAGCGTATCGCCCGAGAATATTTGGGAATATACACGGCTTTGTCAGCGTCGGTGCGAAACACTCGGCGCTGTTTTGTTGATTGTACACGTTGATTGATCGACAATGACGACGGCTACTGATGATAACTAGTGGCTTTGGCGGATTTGTTGGAAACGAAGCACGCAGTTTTAAGAAACTTTGCCCGAGCCTCGGAAAAAAAAGAGAAACGAGTAAAAACGTTGACTGAAAACCAACGAGGCTCAAATCTACTTGCGACGGAGAACATTGTAGTCTCGTACAATTGTTGAAAGCTTTTCTCAAAGTATTAAGAGTACCGTAAAGAGAAAAAGAAAAAAAAAGGTAGAACAAGTCCTGATACTATCGGCACGCCACTTGCGCTAGGCCTGGTAGTTTTACTTTAAAAATCCGATGTCATTCGAGTATGAAGTAGATGGACGAAATTTAAATAACGAGTTTAAAGAGATGTTAAAAAGGTCGGTTTAAATCTGGCAACGGATGGGTCCGCTGCGTCTTAAATCAGCGTGGCTTCTTCCGTACGACGGTGATTGGACGAGTAATGTTAAAGATTTATTATTCGCAACGTATTTGGCTTCACTTAATGGCGAGCGATTGTCTGTAGATTACGTGAAAGCTTGCGATCTCTGTAAGGAATCGTCCATTTCACTTTTTGCTCTTTCTCTCTTTCTCTATCGTAATTCCAAGATCGTAATTCTCGTAAACGCTTGCGTCCACGTTCTCATTTTAGAATAATATACAAGTAACATGCGTTCTTAGATCTTCAACGGAACATACTGTTTTCACGTAATCGTTTCGTAATCGCTGGTCTCATCCACGTATGAATCTAGTCGTCACAGCCGAGAGCTCGTTTGAATCGTCGACTCGAGATGTCCGGTTTAAATTGACGCACGGTACTATAGTTACGTAGCCAAAGGGACGTTCGTCCTCGTGATTTTACGAACAGCAGGAGCAACGTACGTGTATTTTAAGCTGTGTATTTCCGCCGCGCGTTCACTCACACGTAAGCACACGTACATCAAGAGTTTCCGCAAAGATTGTCCAAAGATTGTATATTCCGCAACGTGTCTGAATTCGGATAATTGTGCCCTCTCGTAAAACCCTATCCGATTGGTGTGTGTCATAAATAAAACCCGCACAAACGATTTTCACACTCAAGAGAAATTTAAGACACCGATGAGAGACACCGATGAAACACGATGACGATGTTGAATTTATTTTACACGACGT